TAAATCTACAACTTAATCAACCACGATATTCAATGTAAATATTACATAATAAAGTTTTTAATACCTTTTTTACCTTTATTTGATAAATTGTGTGTTCTACATTATTGCATTTTGTATTGGAATAGGATAAATTATACACAAATATTTAAATTTACAAATTATTCCCAATTTGAGGATGCTGGGTGCACTGGCTCAGAATTTGTATTAGTGCCTATTTATTATTGATTATTAGTGCCTCTAAATCTCTAATGTACAAACATTGTAATCTGTCACTTAATACCATAAAGAAACTGTTGATAGCACATATATTAAATGACCATTAATCAAAATGAACTAAATTTCGACCATTATATACTTAGCATATTTCCCCCAATATTGAGGGAATAATTTCTCCTATTTATTTTTATAATAAGCCAATATTGCCCAACTGTGAAGTCAATATTGCCCGACTGGCCTAGTCTGCCCAACAATTCAGCCCCGCCCTGTACGCCTATGACCAGGCCTACAGGTGGAACCCCAACCTGATTGGTCACAATTTTTATTTCTCCAAAATTTCCCCTCCCCATGTACAAGGATTGACAGTTTGATTAGATTGGGGAAAAAAACACAGTTATATTGGGTCATTCCAGAAAACACCCATACCACTCCCACAGAGGAAATTGAAAGTTAATCCCTCATACCCCTTTGGATGTCCTAATACATTTATTATTATCAGAAACAATTTTTTCCCCCTCCCCCTCTGAATGGCAGAAATTTCCTCTGTGGGGGGAGTGTGGATATTTTCTGGAACGACCTATTTGAGAAATGCTTTTGCACAAATTTTAAATTTTCTTACAATTTTCTTGTATGTCAGAACACTGTTCTAAGTTGCAACTAAAATTCAGAGGTCTAAAAGGCTCAAGTCAATTCCCGTGGTGTAACCAGAGGGGGTGGGGGGTCAAAATATTTTAAATGTTCTGAACTTGTTTGTAATTAATTAGAGTTGAACATGTGTTAACTGCAAGGTTATTTCAAATCACCAAAACACATTAAAATAGCCCCCCAAAATGGCACTTTATTAACTAGAATTTAAAAAGTTTACATTGTACTATATTATACATGGATAGCTTGGGAGTCCAAATATATTTTTACATACTAACAAACTTTATTCAAACTAGTGCAGGCCCCTCCTGGGCATTTCAGTCCCCCTTGAAGGCCTTAATTAGAAATTCTGGCTACATCACTGCTCAATTCCATTGCCAATGATGGTGTTAGAGTAGGTTAACAAACTAGTGTGTATTATGAGATAATCCATTGAACACCAATGATCTATCCCAACATATAAAATCATCTGGTGCAGTGGTGGATCCAGCAAAGTTTTTTGGGGGGTGCTAACCAATGGCGAAACGAGCGCCGAAGGCGCGAGATTTCTAGGGTGGTCCGGGCCGGGCATAGTACCACAGAAAATTTTTAAAATTTGGGTCTCTGAAATGGCATTTCCAGCATTCTGAGAAAACATTTTGGAAAATTTTTAGATTCTCAAAACATTTAAAAAATTCAGAATATTTAATATTGGCTATTCCACTATTGTCAACTAGTGATATCCAACTGAATTCCTTAACATAAGTTGGTCAGAAATGGGATAAACATAATTTTTGCCCCCCCCCACATGCACCCCTGTTGACCAGAGCCTGGGGGGGGGGGGTGCACACCAGAGTAAAATAAAAAGTAAGACACAATGTGTAACTTAATAGGTAAGGTTAATGGCCAGAACTAAATGATAAACAATATTTTATAATAAACCCAAAATAGTTCAGCACCATTGGTTCTTATAACACTGTTCATTCCAATACTAGAACAATTAACAAAAGTTGGAGTTTCATCTGATGACATGTATGCTTCTAACCATGCTGTCCATGCAGCTATCTGACAGTTTTTAATTTTCAACATTGATTCCCAAAGCCATTATTCTCAAGATATGCCAAAAAGGTTTTCCAAATATTAAAGTGCAGAATTATATTACATCACTCATCACTGTTCATTTTACATTCTTCAAGTAGATGCATGTTACAGTACAGTATATCTTGTGCATTTATAATTAAATCTTGCAATATCTTGTTCAAAACCCTCAAATCCAAGATAATCGGCAGCCAGCCATGTTACCAGTAAGATTTCTAGTCTGTTAATTTTGAAATGACCAAGGTTGTACTCGAATATAAATATTTATACTTTAATTATTGAATAGCCCCTGTATATCGCTGACAAGGTATGCTGTTGTCGCGATATGTTCTTTTGCTCGCCAAAGGGCTAATTTTACGCATAATTGTATCTCTAAATTGATCATTCCTGACTTTAAATTCCAAAAGCCACGCGAGAAGCAGTTTAAGACGTCTTTACAAGTCCAAATATATCATAAATTGCAACAAATAATCCATTCTCACTCCTTGCGTAAAAATATGCCCAGTCAGCGTTTTTAGCTGGAGCTACTGTTTACTTCCGCTTCCGGGGGCACCACTGTTCTATGGTGTTCCGGTTTGGATTATCCCAGGGCTTCTGAGAGCAATAAGCGCAGAAGCCCTGGGTACGAGGTTGTTTTCCGCCTGGTACTTCTCTGGTAACAAGTTATATGCATGATAAAGTACGTTCGAGTAAATATATTATGAAGGTCTGACTAGTTATGTGATAAAGTTCCAGGTCTTTTTTTGTACAGATATTATAAAGTTTTAATTCTGGCAAACTATTAATATAGTAAAGTTCTTGTCATAGTATTTTAATATTATAAAGTTCTAGTTTGTTGGCATACACAATTAGCTATATGCAATGACTGTGACCACCTACTTTTAGATATTGCTGTTTCATTGCTTTGTACAAATCTTGAGATGTCTCACTGACAATATTTGATGTACTATTTAAAGCACGCGTACGTAGGAGTGTTTTATCTACAAGTGCTTTAAATAGCTTCAAAAACGACTCATCTTATACAAGTTCATTGGCGAAGTAATTTTTAAAATAAACTTTGTCTAAACGGAGAAAATCAAAGCTAAAGTTTATGTAAATTAACGTGATTTTTTATCACATATAAAACCACGACACTCTTATGATTTTTCTTTGTGTTTTGCTCCTGAATTATTAATGAGTTTTTGAAATATAGTTCGTTCTCCTATCCTGTACTGAAATGATAAACTTCGAAATGACTCTCCTAAAAAAAATTACTCATTGACATTGCCAATTTTTTTGTATATCATCCAAAACGGGCAATACCGCTTTGTTTTGTATTCTGACTCACCTACTGCTGTTGCAAGGAATCGTAGAATAACCGACAATCTTTCTCCAGGACTGATACTTATTTGCATTACTGTGTCTTTCTTTTTAATATATGGTTCCACCATTCTTAAAATTTTTCTAAAAGAATTTATGTCAAAGAGATGGTATTGTCGAAATTTTTCAGGGTCTTCTTCGAGTTCTCGAATGAGGTTGACAAATACACCGCGCCTTTGGCGTCTCTGTACCCAAGTTCTACTCCAAATTGTTCGACATGCAGCTCTCATGCAGCGACGGCGGCGACGCATCAGTAAAATGAAAAGAAAAACAATGCGATGAAGATTTATACTTGCCGCCAGCTCAGCAAACAGCTCAGCACTTTGCTCAACGTGTGCGACCAATCTAGTGTCGAGGCAAAGCAGTGAAGTAGTCGCCTCGCGGGGTCGCGAGCTCAGCTGAGAGCTCTCGTGTGCGCCGGGCTTAAATGAACGCATGTTGTAATACTTTTATATATGATATATATACGCAGAAAGCGGCTTAATTTGTGCAGTATTTCCTTTATATCCCTTTATAAACCTTCCAGGCAGACGTTGATAACTTAAAAAATCGAAGTTCGTGAGAATGTGGAAACGAGTTTGAAGTAAGTCAACCATATATACATCAGCATTTGAATCACGGAGTTCGTCGATTGTATTTCATACCAACGAATTAACCCTGCATTTAATTGTATTCGGATATGCATGCATGTGCGCATTTTGAGCTCAAGCAAGAATTCTAGCACAACTGTCACCGCGACCTTACAAATTAATTCGGTAGAGATTACAGATTCCGGCGGGATCAATACCTTAGTTTGCAATTCTTTACCACTTTCGCTTCAAAGAATATTTGTCGAGAAAGTTTGCTTCCGAAACTGTAGTCCTCGATAAATCAGCATTATAGAAATTTTTAATCAGAAACTTGTACAAGGAATAAAATCGCATTGTTGTGCTTACTCACACGTGCATTGGCAGAAATTAACGACAAAATGGCCACCGCGTGCATGCTAATTTGCATACAATCCATGTACAATGGCTTTCAATTTTTAAGAGGGAATATAAAGGGAGAAACTTTAGCAAGAAATTATGGCAATCTGAGAGTTTGGCTACTGTTTGCCCACCTCGTGATGAATCAAAGCATTCCGCATTTACTAATGTTTCGGTGGTATGTTTATTTAGATTGGGTACGTCTCCGAGCGGCCAAATAATGCGGAATCGTTGCCCACACTTTAATCTATGCTTGGGCCTGCACTATTAACAACAAGGTTTAAAAACAACTATTTTCTTATATAAATTTTTTGTCGGGTAGTTACTGAATCGATGCGAAACAACAAGCAATATAATTATTGCTCAAAGTAAAGATCTAGGCTTCACACTCGTGATATAAATTACTTTGATTGTCTCACCAAAATAGCGTCAAAAATCTCACAACAAAATCTCTCGTCAGCAGTTTAACCACACGAAGATGACATAAAAGTGATTTTCTTGAACACGACTTGGCCGCTAGGTGAAGCCCGATCGGAATAACTATGCCATCGAAACATTAGTGTAATTCTGTCAATCTATGCTTTATTCATCACGAGGTCGGTAAACAGTAGCCAAACTCTCAGATTGCAATAATTTCGAATCAAATTTTTTCATCTTGCATATTCCCAGTAAAAACTGAAAGCCATTGTATATGGATTATAATTATGCAAATTAGTACAAACTTGCAGTGGCCATGTTGTCGCAAATTTCGGCTAGTGAGAGTCGCTATGCACATCTGTTCTCTCTCACTATCACAGTATCACGTACTAATCTAGATTATACCTAAACTAAAGTGTCATAATTCATAATATATCTAGTTGAATATCATTTTGGTCAATTTATACGAGCACCCGTGGATTAAGCACAAAATCAAGGCCAGAAATCACGGACATTATTATTATTCTTCCTTACTAACTTTGCATATCATTAATACATAACCCGTTGAAATATGGCTTCGGTAATAAACAGTAAATTATATTACGCGTCTACGCGATGCTTTAAATCGCAAAATCAGAGAATACTGGTAGGTCGTTTGCAATTTGCTTCGATTGCTGGTTGCGGCAGAACACGGTCTGTTGAAATATGTCGTGTAGTGTTTTCCTGGTGTAAGTTTCTGCCTCTTCTGCGTTTTCGTTCGTTTCTAGTGGCAATAGTGCGGTATTCTTATCCCCAGTGGAAGAAATCTTGGTTGGGGGCAAAACAGCCTTTCGAGGTGGTGCAAAATGGGGGTTTAATGGAAATTTGAAAGTTTTGTCGGAAATTTAGGGGCTTTGCCCCCCGGAAAAAGTGAATTTCCGCCACTGCTTATCCCCGAGCCGACGGCGTGCGAGGGTACTAATTCCGCCCGGCTATTTACACACTAATCTCAAAATATGTAGCGGACTGTCGTGAATAGTGAACACTGACATATATATGTTTGGGAAATTGATAATTGGGGGATTTTTCAATCAGTTTAAAACTATTCTTTAAATTTTCGTGTTGCCATGGCAACTACTTTCAATTCTTCATATTCAGAAAACATAATGTTTTGTCGGTAAGGCGAGGGTTTCTGCATGCATGTATTTTCTAGTATAGAGTTAAAAAGACAAATTCCGTACAAACTAACCTCTGTACAAATACTGAAATGCAGAATAGTCACTAACTAAAATCAAGTCAACATTACGCTAAATACTTCGACAGACTTTGAGTTTATATCCAGCGACTGAGGCAAGTTGCAAATACTTACCATATCAGTTCTCTGATTTTGGGATTTACAGCATCGCGTAATATAATTTACTATTTACTTAAGAAGCCATATTTCAACGTGAGTATGCAAATTACGAAGGAAGTAGAATAAATCATGTCCGTGATTTCTGGCCATGATCTAAATAAACAACTTGAAAATGTATATTTCCTGCGCTCTTATTTTGCAATGAGCTCTCAATTAATTACGTTTGTATAACGAAGAAAAAGAAGAAATAAAGATTATTTACAGTGTTTACAGGTATGAATTGAAAACTAATGTCAGAAATTGCTCTCATTGAATGGCTTCGTCGGCTTGAATACATAAACTTTAATAATATTTCTTGTCATTGATTGCTAGAAACTAGAGTGTAAAATTGACTACAAAATGATATAATTGCAAATTACACTTGTACTCGAAGCATTAATGGAAAATCACACTTGTGTTTGGCGAAATATTTGATAATGCCGCGAGTGCGTAGCACGCGTCCAATTTTTTATTATTATTATATATTTTATTATTTTTATATTTATTATTATATTTTTTATTATTATTATATTTCTTATTATTATAATATTTTTATTATTATATTTTTTATTATTATTATATTTTTTATTATTATTATATTTATTATTATTATTATTATATTTTTTATTGTTGTCGTTGTCGTTGTCGTTGTCGTTGTCGTTGTCGTTGTCGTTGTCGTTGTCGTTGTCGTTGTCGTTGTCGTTGCCGTTGCCGTTGCCGTTGTCGTTGTCGTTGTCGTTGTCGTTGTCGTTGTCGTTGTCGTTGTCGTTGTCGTTGTCGTTGTTGTTATTATTATTATTATTATATTTATTATTATTATTATTATTATTATTATTATTATTATTATTATTAATACGTCAATATTTATAACTTTGATTGGCTGCTGACGAGGCAGGATTTTCCCGTATTGCCCACGGGCAAAAAGTGTCTAAAAGTTTTTCAAGCCACATGGAGCCCAAGCGTTGATCTGTGTTAGTGTTGTATGTTTTTCAGTTTATTTATTTTAGTGTCTTTATGTTGCCTTTTAATTGAATTATAACACTAAATTACACTAATATGTCATATAATAATACTACTCCTATAGTCGAACATATAATAACAACATATAAGTTGATTTGTACGACCTGACAGCCCGTTCGCAGGATACGCGCGGGATTTGAAATAGGGGGCGGCAACAATATAAATACGTGACAGGGGATGAAACTCTTACTGTTTGTCGTATTAATATGAATGCCTCGACTTGAGTGGACCGATAAATCGATAATTATGCAAAGAATGTCGTGTCGAATAACGCCGTCAACATTTAGGAATCAATGATATAAACAAGGAAGCAAACTCGAATACAACTCAAGGTGAGAAGCCAATTTGTGTCGACCGTAACGGTTTCAATGTTTAAAATTAAAAATTAAGTACATTAGGTCCAGTCAAGTCGGGGCGTAGCAATTTATAAGACTCTAGGGCTTTTATTTCACAAAATTTTTCAATGGCTATGTACTTTTGCCTTAGACATATCATGAGGCCGAATTTCAAGCTAAAATTCGTTTTAACAAGCACATACGGCTTCATAATTATCATAATTGCATAATTATCGATTTATCGGTCCACTCAAGTCGAGGCATTCATATTAATACGACAAACAGTAAGAGTTTCATCCCTTGTCACGTATTTATATTGTTGCCGCCCCCTATTTCAAATCCCGCGCGTATCCTGCGAACGGGCTGTCAGGTTCGAAAGGCGGTGCTTTTATATAAGCTAATAATAGATCTTAAATAAATAAACTGAAAAACATACAAATACAAATCAACTTATATGTTGTTATTATATGTTCGACTATAGGAGTATTATTATTATATGACATATTAGTGTAATTTAGTGTCATAATTCAATTAAAAGGCAATATAAAGACACTAAAATAAATAAACTGAAAAACATACAACACTAACACAGATCAACGCTTGGGCTCCTTGTGTTCAAACTGTCAAAAACGAGGGAAAGTAGACCTAGAATAGTGAAAATCAGCAACTGAAAAATTCACTTCACAAAGATATTTTAATTTCTTAAGTCAATATTTATAATATATGCACCTTGTCAATATTTTACGCATTTTTGCAATTGCGTTCAGCTTAAGTGCTAGAGCATTCAAATTCTAATAGCCTGCGTAGCAGGCTATTAGAGCGAGGGTGGGAAAAGCTAGGGGGGGGGGGATGCGAAGGCGAGAGAAAGACAGCGAGGAAAAATGGAAGGGGCGAGAATGAAATTGCGCCTGCAGGAAAGCCATATGTTTTCTCATATTTCGCGTCCGTGAGCGGACACGAAATTCTGATTGGCTAATCAGTCATCAGGGTTTTCCCAATTATATTCCCTGTGGTTTTAGATTAGTTCAAAATAGCGGCATTAGTAGATGGGAGTATTGACGAAGTTCTTTCTAAAGTGATTAGCGACTGACCACTGTATTCAAGTGAAAGAGGAGCAAGATAAAGCAGTTCGGGACCTTTTAAAAGGAAAAGATGTTTTTGCTGTATTACCAACAGGTTATGGCAAATGTTTGATTTACCAAGCTTTCTTACGAGCGCGTGATTATCAAACGTCAGGGAAAGCAGCTATTATTACAATAAATATCCCCATTGAATAGCATTTATATTAAAGACCAGCTAAAAGATATGGAACGGCAATGTTTCTCGTCCGTGGATGCTTAAATCACTATAATTACTATAATCACTATAGTCTATACGCTATAATCACTTTCAACTTAGCCTATTCGCTATGAATTGATTGAGAAAGTTGCTTCGAGTTGCTGTCGTTATTATTAACAACCTGTCCTGCGATGGGGAATCTCGTTCTTCTGTGTCGAGGAAAAGACTTTCTAAATTCTAGTACTAGATTTGACACACACATTTAATTTCTTTCTTTACACTTTCGTTGTGTGATTTCTTGGCAACGTACTGCCGTTTGCTTCTCTCGCTCAGATCGTCTGAAACCGTTTCGTTTTGTTCTTTAATTATCGTTCTTCCTTTACAAATTTATATAGTTCAGCATTTCCTTTCAGCAGTTCAGTTCCTTATTTTCCTTACAAGGTTTACACACTCGATCCCATTCGATTCAACTATGGACTCGCACGCGTTCGCTAAAATCAAATTCTGACTGTCTTGTCTGTCTGACGGCTTAAACAAATTTTCAAAGGACGACTTAAACAAATTTTCAAAGGAAGGCTCACTTTCACATACCGGTACTGGTTTTAGATTGCTGTTGCAAAACCTGCATGTATCGTTAGCGCTTGCCTATTTCGCTTTTCTACCTGCTTTTTTACAAATTTTTTTGGTGTTAACATAGAAACATACTTTATAGTATACACGCGCATTAACTATGATTATGCATAGTGTTGTGAAACCGGATCTGTCACTGGCAAAACCATTAGTTGCGTCTAATCACTGATTGGCTGTTTTTAATGGGCGGGACTTGGGCAGATATGAGAAAACATATGGCTTTCCTGCAGCCGCTATTTCTTTCTCGCCCCTCCTATTTTTCCTCGCTCTCTTTCTCTCGCCTTCGCATCCCCCCCTACTTCTCCCACCCTCGCCCTAAATAGCGCCTGCTACGCAGGCTAAAATTCTAACAATATACGTCAGTTTCAATACTTTAGGGTTTTTGGCACACCCTGTATTCACTATCTTTAATTTCAACAAACGAAATTCGAGGCTGCATGTTTAAAATGTTTCGTTATAGCCAGCGTGGCCGGCTCTTTTATAAGTAGAGCCTGCCCGAAAGCCCTAGTAAAATTGATACCGCCTACTTAGTTAATATTCCATATTAACACCGCCCACTCGAAATAGTTTTGTATAAATGATGACTTGAAATGTCAGTTGTTGCATATTTACTATAGCCTGCGCTACATGCTTTCAATAAACTTTTTACAATAGATGGATAGCGATTCAACTGCCTGGAACTACAAGCAAAACGTCGGCATTTCGAGCGAAGGCCCTTCGACTTTGTCTGGAAATTAATAGTAGACGAAGACCGTTCAAAATTATATTATGCTTTGCACCTGTATGGCTGTACTACAGTTACAACTAGGTTACCCACAGGGCAGTAATGCTGCCTTTGACAGCAAAAGACAAACTACAGGGTGTTGAACGAGTCCTTCAGAAACATCCTATTATTGTTTAGCCTGCATGGCAGGCGGTTCCTAAAATTGGGCAAGCCTGGGAAATACCGCCTGCCATACAGGCTAATTATTATCCTTGTTAACCCATTTATTGACAGTACCCTACCACTGACTGAGTATTAAAAATCGTCTGGCGTTGGACAGGGTAAATACTAAAGTAGGGGTCATTACTGTGCTGATGAATTAACAAGAGCCATTGGCAGATAGGTTTGTTAACCCATTTACTGGCAGCACCCTATACCACTGACGAGTAAAATCTTCTGGCGCTCGACAAGGGAAGGACGCATTGCCAGCTAATGAGTTAAACCACCGTGGTTAAACATAAGATTTCATGATGCTCCAGGAAATGTAAACAAGCTATCAGTGTGACATCCCAGTTTATATATTTATATACTCGGAATATTGATTTCTCGGTACATACAAAATTATTTTAAAGTATAACAACCAGCGAAGACGCAAGGCACTAACTATCAATATTTTCAAAAGCGGCCAATTAGACCAGGGGTTAAAGGGCAATGACATGCAGGTGACATTTAACATTGCGTCTCACTAATTAAAATTTGCGTGTTGAATAGTGTTTATCAAAGAAAGCAAAAATATATACAAGACAATCTCACATGTGGAGTTTTTTAACTTACGGTACGTACTGCCTTGTGATGCAGTACAAGTATAAATACAAATGACAAAGCATTTGTAAATCCTAAAACATAATTAAATCATACGGCACATTTAAGATTTTAATATCGTATTTCAGCCGCGTTTATACTGTTTGGCGCATTCGCTGCGTTATATTCATTTACATGTACATACACAGAAAAGCATGTCATTGTCCTTGCAGACCATAGGCAAAAAGCATTTGTCAACCATGCACATACCTTAAATCATATACATGTCATGGAAAGAATATGGGAATAATGTTGAATGAAAGCTAGCATCGCGTATAATATTAAAAGCACCGCATATAGTGCTCGACGAACCGCTGCGTATAATTGCAAAAGCATCGCGTATATAAATGGTGAAAGCACCGCGTATAATGGCGAAAGCACCGTGTATAATGCCAAAAGCACCGCCGTATAATGCTAAAAGCACCCAACAAAATGCCGTTTGATCACTTTAAGCCAGCTATGACTTTCCATAAAAGAAGACCAAAGATGAAACATGATCACATTGCCTGTTTGCCTTATGCCTGACCGCGCTGCACCATGGTTAAAATCCACTGGTACCGTCATGCAATGCGCCAAATAGAAAATTTTGATTTCGACCCACAAAACAAAATTAGGATCTGCTGCCTTGCTCGCTCGCTTCAGGCTCGCTCGTTGCGGCAGCAAATATTGCAGTATTAAATATAATGACTTAGGAACTG